AAAAAAAAAAAAAAAAAAAAAGGCCAAACAGCATCAAATGAACACAGCTTATCCAGTAATGATGTGGCCATAGATCCAGACAACCCCTGTTGGTAGGGTAACCTAAGAATTAACAGTTTGATTGCTCAGTTCTATCCTTGATTAGAATGGAGGACAACAGATCCTGTAGGGGACAATACTGTCTTTGTACAAAAAGTGCCCATTTAACAGAAATTTGGGGCCTTAATTCCCCAATCGTGGCCTACACATGGTAGTTCCCTCATTGCTACTCATTCCCTGCCTTTATAGTTCCCATACATTCGCCCACCCAAATGAAAATTTTAATACAATTATCAAGGAATAAAAAAGGGCAATAATTGGATCAAACCTAGTTTGAAAGTTTAATAATATGGCGATGCTATAAATGCCAATTATTGAAAGTAAAATTGTATTATTTATTAACAAAATATGAAAAAGAAAATTGACATTCCTTTTCAACTATTTCTTGAAGGAAAAAAAATGGTCCTGAAACCTATCAAGAAAGCTGCAATGTATCCTTCCTTCAATCTCCTTCGAATTTTTTGCAAGAAAATATTATATGTCCAGAAGAGGTAAATAAGCAAAAATAGGGGAGAGAGGACGAAGGTTGAAGTCAAATTTTCCTCTCAAACAACACAATAAAATTTTTTATTTGAAAAAATGAAGAAAAATAACAGAAAAAAAAATACTTCACCAATTTTGACTGTATGGATTGATTTGACAGAATATTAATTTAAGGGGCCAAATGTAATTGTGAATAAAGTATGCAGGATGACCTTGGACTCATACAATGTTGGTGTGTTTATGATGTGGAATGTCGCACTTGAGTGAACATAGGAATAGTTGTAATGGAGGGAAAAACATCCTAATCTAATGAATCATGATGATCACTAAAGAAAAGGACCAGGATTAGAACCAAACTTTAGCATTGTTTGGAGGGTATCACCTTTTTTTTGTGAAAAGCATTGGTCATTGAGACTTACAAGGAATATAATTTTTCTAAAAACCTACTTTTCCTTCCCCTATCTAAAGTCTCTTTGACGGCTAAGGATTTAATAGTTTATGAATCATTTCATTCCATGGTTTGAGTACTCATAATCAAGAAGTTGGGTCTACTTAAATTGCAATACTCTTAATTATAGAGATGATATCGATAATGTAGGATTTAGGTCCGAATTTGCTCAAAAGAGTAGCTCACTTTGAAATCAAATAATAAAATTTGATTGCTTTAGGGTTCCTATAAGCTTCATGAAGACAAATAGATAAAAACTACTCTTTATTGTCCTATCCAAAGTCACTATGATATCTAAGGATTCTTTGATTGAGGAACCATTTTGTTGTTGGAATAATCTTTAGAAGTCGAATCAACTTAAATTGTGGTTCCTATAATTAGTGAAATGATAACATCAATTTAGGGTTTATGTCTCAACTATCTTGGGATAATAGTTTTAGCTTAGCATTTGAAAGTTATTACTGTCTGGAAAAATAGTTTAAAAAAAAAAAATCGTNTAATAGCTTTAGCTTAGCATTTGAAAGTTATTACTGTTTGGAAAAATAGTTCAACAAAAAAAAAAATCATGGATAACAATTACTTTTTTCAAAATTCTAGTTGACAAAATTCGTCTATAAATTAGCGATTATTGGCATATGTTAGCATATTCAAAATATTAATGTATAAATCACTCTTCGATACTATAGGCAGACCTGTATATCTATGTACAACTCCCAACTGCTTTGAGTTATTTAGAACTAGAAAGCTAGGGCAGTTGATAAACTTGATATAATGCACAGCTCAAAACAATTTCGTGCTACTTAGAACTAATAAACATAGAAACATAATGGCTGTAGTTGTGGCGAGGTTGATGATGCTTGCTTGTCCTATTCCTTATTATAAATGCATGTAACTACAACCTCGACATGGAATGTTGTGTATTTCTGAATTAAGGTTTCTTTTTGGAAGGAATGCTACCTTAAGTGAAGTGGTTTCTTTTTCTTCAAATCCTAAACTTAAATGACAACAAATTACACTTAAATTAATACATCTCAATTCGACTCGACTCAATTCAACAAAATATTTATCTTGACTATTTGGATTAGAGTCAACTATACGAATTTTATTTTTTTATTTTGATCTATCAAGTGTCATATTTTTCTATTAAACCATGAGTTATTATATGTTTTTTTAGTATCAATTCAAAGTTAAATTCAACCTACCTATATTTCTCGCATTATCAATGATATGAATAATAATTACACTTTCTTTCTCATCAATGAACTACTAAGTCTTCTAAAAACATGTGCAAAAAAACTTAAGTTACATTCTCTTCTTAATCTATCTCGTATTGGGGTTATTTTATATACAAATTCTAATATTATTTTTTCTTGTTTTACTACGTATCCATTTTAACATTGCAGTTCTATAATACTTAATTTTTGAACATGTTATTTTTTTATGACCCAACATTCTATACCGTAAATAAGTGTGTTAATCGAGACAAACTACTTGGGTTCAGCCCGGGTTCGGTTCAGATAAAACTCGATTAAAGCTCGACTCTTGTTCTAAATTATATGAGCTTGAACAATTTTTCCGACTCATTTAGAAAAACAAACCTATAAGGCTCGATTCAAACTCGACTTATTTATATATATAATAATTGAGCTACTCGAGCTCGCCTCGAATTTTAAACGAGCTGAGCTTGAATAATTTTTTAGGATCGTTTAAAAAAACAAGATCAAACTCGCAAACCTCAACTCAATTAACAACTCTAACCGTAAAACATTGTCGGTGTCATAATTATATCATAAAATTTAGCCTTCAACCCAAGGAATATGTCAATCAGACAACATATCAGATGCATTTTTCCACCTTGTCCGTATGGCTTTAATTCTACTATTAAAATCGTTCTTAATCTCGAGCCTACAAAAAATTAACCCCAAATATCAAAAGTATTCCCTTTTGATCTCTTAATTTTTGAATTTACAACTTCCTCAAATATAAACTTGTATTTGTATTTGAACCCCAAATACAAGTTTATTTCTACTTACCTTGAATCTTTTTAATTCTAAAATTTCTCTCCAACTTCTACTTTATAATTAATTCCTACTTTAATTTCACTAATAAATAATATATCAGCAAATAACATATACCATGGAATCCCGTGTCTACTCAACCATCCATAATCACCATAAAAATATATAGACTTACGGCCGAACCATAATGTAGACCTATAATTATTAAAAATTCACCACCTTTTCCCAGACTAAAATAACCGAACCCCACATATATACCCTTAAACACCTTCCGGATCAAAANCCTATAATTATTAAAAATTCACCACCTTTTCCCAGACTAAAATAACCGAACCCCACATATATACCCTTAAACACCTTCCGGATCAAAACCTCTGTTTGGCCTTCATAGACCCTATGTCACTGGCAAATTTTTAGTACTTCCAAGTATGAATACACCCTTCCATTGCCAATAATTTCTTCCACCGTGCATCCTTGTAGCATAAGACATTCAACCACGTCACAAAAAAACGGACTTAATGAAATTGCTCTATGACAGCAAGGGAACATGGCTTACTGGGATTGATTTCAAGCCCTTTCGAAGGGCATAAACATCAAATATGAGTGGCAAAAACCCTACCACCAACCCTCATGCAAGTCACATGTATCATCCGCCATCATATCCTCATTCAATAAAAGATCAAATATAATATTTTGGTTTTCACATAAGCTCAAAACCCTTTTTGAAAAAGTTCATTTAGTTTCCTTCATATGCTGATGTTACCTTTCCATGAATGAACATGCGCCTCTGAAATAATCGGTGCAAACATTGCAAGATTAGAGTACGTGGCTAAACATCCACAAACCCAAAAAAGGATTGAAGAGTTGAAAGTTCAAATACATATATCAGAGGGTAACCAATGTAGAGTTGCATAATGTTATAGTGAAGATGTGTGTGGTGGGGTACACACTATTTGGGATCCAATGGGGTCTACAGCATTTAAAAGCACCAACACATAAGGGTTTAGACTGTCAAATAAGAAATTAATTCTACTTCAAAAAGTACAATCATCCAAGAAAGTGTCCAGGACCCTTGCTGCAAACCCTNTTTAGACTGTCAAATAAGAAATTAATTCTACTTCAAAAAGTACAATCATCCAAGACAGTGTCCAGGACCCTTGCTGCAAACCCTTTTCAGATGATTATCATAATTTCAACTGACCATTGGTTCAGGACTGGAGGTTGACATTAAATCCAGCAGTGAATTCTGGGGCTCCAGCTCTTCATGCCACAATGGAAGGGTGTCACCAGGGTAGAAATTTCTTGTCACCCCCTCCGAATTTATCTGCAGAAGATAAAGAGTTACTGTCATCACAATTGAGCAGAATGAAAACTAAGAAAGACAGATGATGGACGCAGGCCATGCTAACGAACTAGTGTATTTTGTTCATTCACTAAAATTCGGAAGGAATGCTGGGAAGCAATTTTGGACGCAAAAATAAAAAACTACAAAACTCGAATCCTTAAAAACAACACAATGGCATCTGTTCTATAAAAGATCATCAAGCCAAACAAACAACTTGCACAGAGCCACACAAGAAGGAGCTTGGAATTCAGAATGCTAGAAATCCTACTGCAAAGATATTTAGCACGAGCCATAACACCCATAATAAGCATCCAGACGGATAGTCAAAGCTGAAAAGCAAATTAGATAAACCTTGAAAAAAGGTTCAAAGGCTCAGCATGGGTCTCAAAGTTCCAATCCCATAGGCACATGCACCTCAAAACACTACTAAAATTCAGCTTTTATCAAGAATATTACTATCTCCAAGATTCTTCGAAACTACAAGGTTATTGATAATGTTACATGCCTTTTAGTTCAAACTAATTACTTTTGCATCATTGAGTTACCTAAACCAACTAGTTGCAGTTTCAAGAAAATATGAATAATTTGAGTAAATAAATAATCCCATGGAGGCAGAAAAACTTAGGAAAGCATGTGGAGTTTAAACATCAAATCATCTCATGACCAAATACTTCCAATCCCAATTCAGCGACTGTTCCACAATGCATTAACTTAAGAGTCAGGTTATTCAACTCCAGGGGCAGAGCCAAAAAAGTATTTTTAGGTGGGTGCTTTACAAAAATTTATCCTATTCGATAAAAGTAGTGAAATGGAATTAATAATTTATCCATCGAGCTGATCAAAACGCTTCACGAGTTACCTAGTGTTCTAGGATTGCCGTCAATTATAAGGACCTCAAGATAAGTAGCATCTCATTGGTGGCTAACATAGTTGTTGGAGGACCACATGGTCGTTAGAGGTTGTATACTTGTCAATCATTTCATTACACAATCCTCCCAATTTTTAAACAATAACAAAATAATCCCACAAGTTATTTAAATTTACAAAATGACCCCTACATCCATCATTTAGGAATGAGTCTATACTAATTGATATAATAAGAAAATACTAGAATGCATAACTAGATATACCTAAAAATATATAAAAAGTACATGGGTAATGGCAAGAAAAAATTTTGGAGGGTGGGCAATAGTACATGAGTGGCTCCACCACTGTTCAACTGCCCCGATCATCTCTGTCCACTTGTGAGGTAATCCAGATGTAAAATGTTTCTGATAACTAATTTTGAAAATTAAATAATAGATATTATNGAGTGGCTCCACCACTGTTCAACTGCCCCGATCATCTCTGTCCACTTGTGAGGTAATCCAGATCATAGTTATCAAATCGTGTATCGGAAGGCGTATCGTAAGATACAAATATTGTANATAGGATAACATAAATTTAGTAACACAAGATCATCTACATAGTGAAGGGGTATAAAAGCAGTGCCATAGCCGCAAGAGTACAAAAAAAGTGGAGTTCATGTTCAACACCTTGTAAGATAGACCGGAGGGTAAGGGCAACAATCTATTAACCAAAAAAGGCTCGGTCAGCACCAGCTATGATGCTAGAAGAAAAAAAAACTATAAGCAAGCTCTGGATATAGCGGTATGCCACCTTCCCCTTCTGAATGAATCAGTGTTGCATTCTCCTATGAACATGGCCGAAATCCCCTCAAAAAGCCTTCACCCCATGTATTCTCCAACATTTATTCAGGACAAACAAAAATGTCTGACAGAAACTCCCTGTCACACAAACGGTTCCAGCTAATGGCCTAGTGACATGTAAACCTACTATCCTCCAAGCCGTCACCCAGGGCGGCCTTCCCATGATCTCCAATGTTGTAATCCTTGCCCGAGTTGGTGGATCCTGGTCCCCCATCTTTGTATCTTCACCAAAATATTTCTCCGGCTATTGGCTAATACCCCAAAACATAGCAATCATCAATTAATTTTGCTCCTCACAAAAAGGTAATATCCTAGAACATTTGCGAAAAAGTGTCAGATCTTTGGAAGGAAAGATTGGTGAGGTCAGCACCTCAGAATTCTCTCATTACAGTAACCTTAGATGTCCATGTTAGAGCATTCGACATAACACCAATTGTCAATGAGTGGAGAGGCCCAACATATAAATCAACCTTGAGTGGTCCTAATCATTTGAAGTGAGATACAATCTCTCTTTAAACCCTCCCTGTCGTGGGACTTAGACTCGCACGTGGGGCTAACAAGCAAACAGACAAACATGCAAACTAAAAAATTCAAATGGGTAAGAGACTTAACCCACTGATCAACCATGGTCCAGCTCAACTAATTGAAAATGAGTGGAAAAGCCCTTGAGCAAATAAACCAACCTTGATTGATCCTAACCATTCCTGTATGGGATACAAGCTCTCTTTACAATCCATTTTCAAATTCATCCTAAATCTGTTTGTCTCCTCAACAACCAAAAGACCACCTCATTGCTCACACCAAAAATAATCTCCTTGGGTCCACTATCCTACACATATCCCCTCTTATGGTAGGAGAAGAGCTGTGACAAGCACTCAAACCTCATCCCAAAGTTGAAAATAGAGTACCACTATTGACTACGACAGGAGGTTGTGAAAGACTTTTGAGTCCTTATGATACAATAATCCATTGTCATGGCAAACAAAATAAAGCTGTATCATTAAAGTTTGTCAACCATGTCTAAAGCACTACCTTTACTTGGCTTCAGGCCAAGACCAATTATGGTTGTGAATGGATAAATGTAAGTTGCACTATTGAATATAAGTTATAAAAAGTACTCACACTAACAGTCCGAACCATTCCGCCGCTAGCACCATCTCGAGCAATTGCAAGAGAGACTGCCTTCACCACAAATTTCTGCAGGATGAAAACAAATATGTTCAGGAAATTTTCAGCATAAATTCAACCGCACGGAGAATAATGCTGGCAAGTACTTACGATCCAGACTATCAACAGAACAAATTTTGCCAGTGTTCAACAAAGTCTCCTTATTAAAGTAAAATAGATGTCACCATAACCTTAACTTCTTCATAGCCACACCGACAATAAGCAAGATGATATATTGAAATTTTCAGAGTTATTCCAGTACAAGAAGATTTTGGATATAGGAATTATTGGGAATGTTTGTAAGAAACCATCGTAGATATGTGTATTTGTGCCTGCAAGAAAGGCAGTGCCAACAAATATTGTAGCATAAATTCCAGAAATAAACCCCCACCCTGCCAGATCCAAAAAATCCCAAGAAAAAAGCAGTAAAGGAAAAGAAATGGAAAATAAATGAAATGAATGTTGCATTCTAGAATCAATGACAAATAATTGGATCACATAAGAAAATTTGAGGTGGATACAATTCTTGAAATATTTCCGGTATGCTCTTTAAGTGGGCAAACATACAGACTATGGGGTACATACCTCAGCTTCATCCTTGGTCATCCCATCCCTCCATTCTTGGTCGAAAAACCCATACAAATAGGTAGAGCCAGATCCTGAATTAACATAAACACCATTATGTATATACCAGGATCAGATAACAAAAATATCTCTCAGTTGCTCATAGATCAAACAGGAATAAGTTGTTTTGAGAAAAATAACAATAGAACAAGAGATTCCTTGCCAGTTCAAGCATAAGACACTAAATTGTTTGCCTGACATCTTGGCAATTTTCAAATAAATACAAAAACAGACATGTTTTAATTGATGGATAAATTCCAATACTAAAACAGAAGGATGCAATGTTGGCAAAAAAACTCATCTGAAGGACAACACCAGATGTAACTCATAGAGATTTAACAGAATTCACTGACAATATCCATAACAAAGGCTTACTTTAAAAAAATAATTATGTTGAAATACATTTGAGATTAAATTGAAACAAACCACAAGATCTTTATTGTTCATGTACCCACTGTACAACTAATATGATAAGGAAACTCAGCATGTAACTCGTAAGTCTGACAGAAAGCTTTACCAGCAAAGCAAGTGCAACAAGCTTCATATTATTACAGAGGAATAGGATGACTGGAAAAAGAAACAGACAACTTGCAAATAACACCACCAAGAAGAAGAATGTCATAAATAACAAATATTAAACAAGAAAAGTTGCAGGGTGACAGAAACATATTCGAATCAGATCAGAAGGCTGACCTCCAATGGCAAAAGGCTGCTCCAAAATTGTTCCTCCAAGAGGCACTCCATATATTTTTCCTCCTTCATACTTGTCCCAACCGCCAATAATGAGGCCAGTTTGTAGCATATTCTATGATGTTGAAATTAATATCGCTAAATTAAACATCACAAGAAGGTAGGGCATACAGAGGTTGCATACCTACTTTTTAGAATTTTAGCACATTCATAGTACAGATAAAATCTAAGAGAGACATTATCCAACATACAGAATAGATGTTCGTTCATACACCAAAGGAGAAGCAAGGCATATATGCATATTGAAGGGAAAAAAAAAGAAGATGCAAGGGGTACAGGTTATGAGACTGGCAAGTTCTACTATCAAAACAATCACCAAGACCCAGGAGAATTTACTGAAACCAATAAATCCTACTTTTAGACAACAATTCATATAACTTAGAAGTCTGGGGAAATTTAGTTCACACACCCTTGTACATTGTCTTATCTTCGGGCACAACCCTGTACTACTTGAAACATCATTGCCTTCCCTGTTAGGTTTGGTCGAGTACCTGACGGAACAGAAATGCACCATCCACCACGGTCTAGATCTGCCCCACCCTACCAATATGCACCAACCACCTACCAAACCCACACCCACACCCAACTCTCTCTCCCTCTCTCTCTCTCTAACTAGGGCATGGCCAGTGATGGATTTTGATTTGAGAGATAGTGTATGGTGGTGNCCCCATACATGTAACTAGGGCATGGCCAGTGATGGATTTTGATTTGAGAGATAGTGTATGGTGGTGGCATGCTCAACAAGAGCGGTGCAGAGATGGCTTTGGTCAAACTGAAACAGGTGCCGGAATCCAAAATTGGAGTAGTTGGCATGTCCAAACTGGTAAAATCAATTGTAGCTTATGCTGATTACAACAGCAACTGAAGCACAAAGGAAACCCGGGCCTACGCGCGAGGTGCGAAGCAAAGCACAGGTTTCATCGATTCAAGCACATTTATAAATTATGCCGCAAGTGAACTGAGTACAACAAATTTTAGAAAATTTCTAGCAAATTCAAAGAATATAGCTCATCTAAGCAGCAGGTGATATTATTTCCACTAAAAAAAAAACAAATTACAAGGGAAAAAAGAAAACTAAGGCACCAAGGCAACTTGTGGCCTACCGCATACCAAAGCTCTAAAATGCAACAAAGTTCAGAGAATATCTGGCAAATACAAAAAATAAGGCTGATCTAAACAACAAATACAATAATATTCTTTAAACAAAAAGTAAATTGCAGGAAAATACAATATATATACAACTCATTTTAACTAATTTTATCCAGCAACGAACAAAATAACAATGAGATTCCAAGCAAAATTAATCGGCTTTAGCATCAAATTTTCCATAATAAAAAATAAATATTATCCAAGATTATTAGCATCCTAAAGCCAATTTCAACACAGACTTTTGTACTGTGAGTTAGATTAGACTAAATCCGCAATGTCAGGTAGAGTTTAGGGTCAGAATTCAATACTAATACTTTGATATCTAATATGTCGTTATGTATATCCATTATACCAATCAAAGTATATTATCACTGGCCCAAAATAACAATGGAGGGAACAAAAAAGGCTCACGCTTCATGCGCCTTGGGCTTAAGATCAAGGCAAAAGCCTCATGCGCCACAACCACGTTCTTAGGGAAGGTGTGCCTCACCTTGCCTCGGGCCTAGGCCAATGCCTAGGTGCACTTTTCACTACACTATTGGTTGAAATCTAAAGATCTAGGGTTTAGAAAGGGAAAGAGGCAAGAGAGAAGACAAAAAAGAGATTAGGATTAAGGAGAGTAAAAGTTAACCTGTCTCTCCTCTTATTGCCCATATTTATATTAACTCATAATAAAATGAGGATTACAACAANCGATTGAGGAGAGTAAAAGTTAACCTGCCTCTCCTCTTATTGCCCATATTTATATTAACTCATAATAAAATGAGGATTACAACAATAGCCTCAATTAAAATAACCTAACATTCGACACTTCTCCTCAAAGTTGGAGCATAGATATCTCTCATACCTAACTTAAATACATCTGAATGAAAAATTCTACTATTAACCCCCTTAATAAACACGTCAGCTAGTTGTTCCCACATATGACATACAAATAAGCCCATCATTTAACTTCTCTTTAATGAAGTGTGTGTCAATCTCAATATGTTTTATTCTGTCACGTTGAACGGGTTGTGAACAATATTTATGGCAACCTTATTATCACAATAAAGGCACATAGGCTCATCATTAGACACCCAAACCTTTCATTAAGGTTTTCAACCACATAAGCTCACAAATACCATGAGTTATTACCTTGTATTCTGCCTCTGCCTCTGCACTAGATCTAGACACCACTACTTACTTTTTGCTCCGCCAAGCAAATAAATTTCTTCCTACAAAAGTAGGATACCCTGTAGTGGACCTTCTATCCTTAATTGAACCTATCAAATCTGCATCTGTAAAAGCTTCTATTATCAAATGACCTTACTTTGAGAACAATATTCCTTTCCCAGGAGATGATTTGAGATACATCAGTATACGATAAACTACCTCTTGATAAAGAACACACAGAGCATGCATGAATTGGTCAACACTCATTACATATGCTATGTCTAGGCAAGTGTGAGAATGGTATATACGTCTCCCAACAAGCCTCTAATTACTTCTCAGTTTGTGATTTGTCTCAATAGGTGAGCTAGCATGTTTACAACCTACCATGCCGATTTCCTTTAAGAGATCAAGGATATACTTCATCTATGAGATGAAGATGCATTTATCTAACCTAACCACTTAAATCCTAAAGAAATGCTCCAAATCCTTAATCTCAAATTCTTTAACAAGGTGGACTTTCAGTTTGAACACTTCCTCCACATCATCACCTGCGAGTATTATGTCATCAACATATAATATAAGAATTAAGATCTTATCACTCCATTGTTTGATGAATACAATGTTATTTGTATGATTTTGCTTGAACCCAAACTTGACCATTACCTAAAGAAATCTCTCAAATCAAGCTCTAGAAGGCTGCTTAAGTCCATAAAGAGATTTCTTCAGCTTACATACTTTTTCATACCTCTAGAGGTAAAAAACCCCAAAGGAATATCCATGTACACTTCCTCCTCTAAGCCCCCCCATAAAGGAATACATTCTTTACGTTCAATTATTGTAAATCCCATCTCAGATTGGCAACACATGAAAGGATGACACGAATACAATTCATCTTCGCCACAAAAGCAAATATCTCCAGATAGTCAATGCCATATGTCTGAATAAACCTCTTAGCTACCAACCTTGCATTGTATCTATTTATTGTGTCATTTGCATTCTGCTTGACAGTGAAGACCCACTTACATTCTATTGATTTCTTCTAGCTATAAGAGACAAAAGCTCTCAAGTTTCATTCTTTTCTAGAGCTCTTATTTCTTCTACCATGACTATTTTCCACTTGGGTTCTATAAGGACTTTATTCCAATTTTGAGAAAAGGATATGGAAGACAAACACAACAAAAGTACGATAGGAAGAAAACAAAAAGTCATAAAAAACAAATTTCAAAGCAGGATGTTAGGTACAAGTCCAAACTCCTTTTTGAATCGAGCAATGCTACATAAACTTAAAAACTAAATTTAAAAAGTAGACTTGATAATTATAAACATTGATTTCACTATTGGTCCCAGTATTTATTGAGACCTACTATTTATTCAATGGTTGTAATCATAGTTATCAAAATCATACGACTCGCAATTCAATTTATACGATTCGGTTCGATACAAATACAAAACAATTTGTATACAATTTGTATCTTATATAAGGATCGTTTTAGAGTTGAATCGGACCTGAATCAAACGATTCAATTCGTATCGCACGAAAACACTTTTTTTTAAATCCAAATTTTTGACAAAACAACGTTGTTTTGTCTGCTAAACAATAAAGTGACGTTTTATTTGCAGAGGAAACTACGCCCTAATAAAAACTTAATCTCTTTGTTCATTCTCTTTCTAATGTCATCTAAAGTTCGTCTTACGTTGTCTAAAAGTTAAAAGTCACGGCTAACGCTCTCGCATCGTCAGTTGATTTTTGCTCTCAATTTTTTCATAGATAGTTTGTTAGATTCTAATTTTTTGTTTCAAAATGTTGGACTGTATGTTTTCTCCCAATCAATTTTCTTATTTATTCTTTTTCCCTTCATGTTTATAACCTAATCTACACTGGGTGTCACTATTTTGGTTCTTGAATAGCTCTGATTCTTAAATGAATTTTTTTCAAGTTATTGAATTTGAAAATGATTAAGCAAAAAAATAAAAATAAAACAACAGGCTAACGTCTTTCTATTTAGACAACGTGATTATGTCAATTGATTATTTTTAGTATGCAATAATGTTCAATATTTAATATTTTATCTATTTTAAATATGTAGTATTATTTTTTTTTNTTTAACTAATTTTATCCAGCAACGAACAAAATAACAATGAGATTCCAAGCAAAATTAATCGCCTTTAGCATCAAATTTTCCATAATAAAAAATAAATATTATCCAAGATTATTAGCATCCTAAAGCCAATTTCAACACAGACTTTTGTACTGTGAGTTAGATTAGACTAAATCCGCAATGTCAGGTAGAGTTTAGGGTCAGAATTCAATACTAATACTTTGATATCTAATATGTCGTTATGTATATCCATTATACCAATCAAAGTATATTATCACTGGCCCAAAATAACAATGGAGGGAACAAAAAAGGCTCACGCTTCATGCGCCTTGGGCTTAAGATCAAGGCAAAAGCCTCATGCGCCACAACCACGTTCTTAGGGAAGGTGTGCCTCACCTTGCCTCGGGCCTAGGCCAATGCCTAGGTGCACTTTTCACTACACTATTGGTTGAAATCTAAAGATCTAGGGTTTAGAAAGGGAAAGAGGCAAGAGAGAAGACAAAAAAGAGATTACGATTGAGGAGAGTAAAAGTTAACCTGCCTCTCCTCTTATTGCCCATATTTATATTAACTCATAATAAAATGAGGATTACAACAATAGCCTCAATTAAAATAACCTAACATTCGACACTTCTCCTCAAAGTTGGAGCATAGATATCTCTCATACCTAACTTAAATACATCTGAATGAAAAATTCTACTATTAACCCCCTTAATAAACACGTCAGCTAGTTGTTCCCACATATGACATACAAATAAGCCCATCATTTAACTTCTCTTTAATGAAGTGTGTGTCAATCTCAATATGTTTTATTCTGTCACGTTGAACGGGTTGTGAACAATATTTATGGCAACCTTATTATCACAATAAAGGCACATAGGCTCATCATTAGACACCCAAACCTTTCATTAAGGTTTTCAACCACATAAGCTCACAAATACCATGAGTTATTACCTTGTATTCTGCCTCTGCCTCTGCACTAGATCTAGACACCACTACTTACTTTTTGCTCCGCCAAG